AATCTATCTCAGTACCTTTACCATAAATTCAGTCTTTCCAAAGCATCTCATATCCTGCTGCCAAGGTGTGGTTGCTATTCTGCCTTGTTTATATTATGCTTACAGTGTCAGATTTCATGTCTTATGTTGTTAGTCCAAGCTCTCACATAGGCATCTGTTTGTAGTGTATGAATATACTGGCTGCTTCTCATTGATTTCACCCAGATCCCCGGCTGCCTTCAGTAAAATCTTTTAGTCTGTTTTTTTAGGTAACACTTCCTTCTTCATTTTAGTCATCCTGTCCCCTGGTGTTTCTTTGTATTCCTTTTTACCTGAATTTCCTCTTCTCTCAGCTGTGAAATTCAAGTGCAGAGATCTGAATTCTCTGATTCCTTCCCACGGTTGCTTAGTTTGTAGCCGTTATTATCAGCAAGGCCAGTCCCGTAACAAGAGACAAGGATTTGCCCAAGACCTTGGGGTACCATCAACCAAGAAAAGCCCCCAAAAGGTACATCCTACACTGCTGTATTGAGCCTCTTGACCATCTCTTGTGTTTGTCAAGTCAAATCTGTGACTGGACCAACAGCTGTTACCTTTCAGTGGTCTCTCATGAAAGAAAAAAGGAGAAACTACATGCCCAGAGCAGCCAAACAGATTCTGCAAACCATTGAGAAATAGATGCTACAGATGGTTGCTCTGTGATTGATTACAAACGAACTAGCCTCTTCTTCCCCTTTGCTTCCAAGAAAGAAACCCTAAATCTTTCCGCAATGACTTGCTTCTTCCCTTAGAAAGACAATTTCCTTTTTTTTAGTTTCTAATTGATTATGTCCCTCACTGACAAGTGAATAGAATAACTGTAATTCCAGATGTTGGGAAGAGAGCATGCCTACTTTAGAGATTCTCACAAAGCAAGTGTTTCCCATTAGAACTGAGTGAATTTGGTATTTGTGAATTTTTTGCAGAAAGTACATTTGTCAAAAAGTTGCATTTCTTGCAAATTCTTTCATTCCTTTTATTCTGGTCAACTTCAAGTAATCGTTTCAGGTGAGAGAAATGGGGAGAAAGTAGGTGTTGAATGTCAGTGTTTTTTTTTTTTTTTTAAAAATGAAAGCAAAAAGTTTAAATTCTTTTGTAAAATGTTTTATTCGGCACATCAAGTTTAATATTTGGTTACCTAAACTTCCTGAAGTGTCCTTAAGAAACTGGGTGAAGGAGGGATGAGATAGCATTTGTTAGTGGGATGCAGAAGGATACTTGAAAATTTTTGCCCCAAAACAGTTTTTCTCCTATTTTCCTCAGGCTGGCAATCAAAATGGGAAAAATCATATTCACCCAGTCCTGTTCCTGATATTAAAAGAAAATTCTTTTTGTTAAAGGAGATGCTGAATAAACAATTCTTTTGCTGCTTATTGTATACTGTCTATATAGGAGTGGGAATTTGTGCTTTTTACCTGGACACTTGTCCAGGTCCAGAGTTCACAAAAGTGATTTGCTCTTGAGAAAGGAACTTCTTGACTGCTTTGTCTTTTGGTCTGCCAAACTGAAATAGGCAAAATGAACGAAGTATACCAGATCTCTTCTATTGAGAAGGTGCAGCAGCTGGAACAAGAACTAGCAGCATAGCTGGCAGAGCTAAAGGCAGAAATAGAAGACAACAGGATACTCCAGGGAACACCAAGTAGGGCATACAGGTAACAAGAGTTTGCTGGGGAATGAAGGAGAGAGTGAGATTATAGTAATGCATTGTATCTCTTCTTGGCTTTTTTTGGTCATGACACAAAAGTCATGTGTCTATATAATTCTTCAATTTCGAGACCTGAATATACATGAGAGCCAAGAATAGCAGCTTTTCCATTGTGTGTCTACCACAGAATTACGGTTGAAATGGAAGGGAATGTCAAAACATAAACTAAATTGATTTTGTGTTGAATATTGTAGACAAAACTTTAAATCTCCTTACCATGTCAAGTATTTCCTTCTTATAGTGAAGAGGAAGTAGCTTCAAACATAACACTGGGGTGTATAAACAGAATGGTCGTATATAAGAGAGCTGCTCTTACTTTCCTCAGCGATAATGAGATGCAAGCTATGACACTGTACCCAGGTTTGGCACTATGCTTCAAGGAAGCTGTAGACCATCTGCAGAATATGTGGAGGAAAACAGAGGTGAAGAACACTTGACTAGGACACTTGAGACAAAAAGGAAGGGAGCTGGACTTATGTCTCCACTCCATTTTCTCTAGATTCTAAGTCTTCAGAAACATGGGAGATTGCTGTAAAGATGAAGGGAATAAACTTCTGTTGCACTTATGTATAGGACAGAAAATAATGGGCTAAAATGCAGGCTTTCCAAAGATAAACACTGCTATCTAGACTAGGAGGTTGCTGACCATCCGTGATGACCACCTGTCTTTAAGAACAGGTTAGACAAACACCTTTAGGGAACAGATTTACGTTTTCCTGCCTTAGAGCAGTGGAAGTGGTAGATGATCATAAAACCCGTCCCGGTCCTACCTCTTTAGGGCTCTGAAGTGTTCCAGTGGAGTTTCCCTTGTATTGCTCTTGGACAAGGCTTAGGAGCCCTTTTTTTTAATGGTCCAGTTTTCACCTATTTTAATTTTCATAAATTCCATTTATTCAGTTACATTAAAATTATGTAATGTATGCTTCCTCTAAGTATATTGATCATAGAATATCTCAAGTTGGAAGGGACCCATAAGAATCATTGAGTCCAACTCCTTGCTCCTTGCAGGACTACTGTCATGGTTTAACCCCAGCCAGCAAATAAGCACCACGCAGCCGCTCGCTCACTTCACACCCCCCACAGTGGGATGGGGGAGAGAAATGGAAAAAGAAGTAAAACTCATGGGTTGAGATAAGAACAGTTTAATAGAAGATAAAATAAGAAACTAATAATAATAATAATGATAACACTAATAAAATGACAACAGTAATAATAAAAGGATTGGAATATACAAAAGATGCACAATGCAATTGCTCACCACCCCGCCGATCAACACTCAGTTAATCCCCAAGCGGCGATCCCCCTGCCCCCACTCCCCCCAGTTTATATACTGGGCATGACTCCATATGGTATGGAATATTCCTTCAGCCAGTTTGGGTCAGCTGCCCTGGCTGTGTCTCCTCCCAACTTCTTGTGCCCCTCCAGCCTTCTTGCTGGCTGGGCATGAGAAGCTGAAAAATCCTTGACTTAGTATAAACATTACTTAGCAACAACTGAAAACATCAGTGTGTTATCAACATTCTTCTCATACCTAACTCAAAAACATAGCACTGTACCAGCTACTAGGAAGACAATTAACTCTATCCCAGCTGAAACCTGGACAACTACTTAAAACTAAACCAGATGACCAAGAGCATTATCCAAGTGCTCCTTGAACTCTGACAGGCTTGGTGCCGTGACCACTTCCCCGGGGAGCTTGTTCCAGTGACTGACCACCCTCTCAGTGAAGAACATTTTGCTCATGTCCAATGTTGATACATGAGAATTAAAAAATAGTTCTCCTCCAGAAGTTTTCTCAGCCTCTCCTGCTGTGATACAGGCACATTAGGGAGGAAGTTGTGAAGGACATTTGTCAAGGAACTCCACTGCAGAGTTGTGGGTTGTAATAATGTGTCCATAGGATTGACAAGCATCCAGATGGACTTTTTAAGGGCTTTGACTAAAAAATAGAGGTGGAAGCAAACCATTTGCCAAAAAATGTCTGCTAATTAAATAAATTCTGCTGCTTTATTATAGATTTTTCATACCATTAAACTTGCTTACTGTTAACTTCACCATCTGAGTTGTGTTGGGCCTGACAAATGTTTGGTTTATACCAGCTTGTATGTAACATCCTGTTGAACTTTTTTTTTCTGCTGTTCTGCTGCAATTCCAAAGGATGCATCTTATTTCAGAAAAGAAAGGGAGGTAATACTGAAGAAAGGCTTACAGGTAGGTAGCTAAAATGTACACTGGCTTAAAAGAATTCTCTTTGCTCTTTACCAAGTAGCAACTGAAAATTAAAATCAGGGAAAATGATATGTTTTTTGGAATCTGGGCCTGTAAAGACAGAATGGGAAGCCTCGTAATGTTGTTTGCACATTAGTAAAAGAGCACAACCTTTCATTTATTCAAATAATAATGTGGACCCGGCTCTGGAGCGTTTGTTTATGCAACAACTCCCGATTAAATTCAAAGCCTCAACATTTTTCTGTATTTACCACCTTTTTGTTTGTTTGTTTGTTTTTGTATCCTGAAAACGAGATGTGTTCAACACGTGCTCCGTTTGCAGGGGACAGAAGCAAAACCTCTTGTTATTCAGGCTGATGTCGTGCAGAGGGAGTTAGAGAGCTGCCTGAGAAGGGAGCACACAGCAGCAACCTTGCCTCTGCTGCTAGACTACGTACCTATGACTTTCAATTCTTCTAGCAGACTGATTTTACTAGAAAGAAAATACTACAATGATAAAGCTGAATTCAGGTAAGTGGAATAATGAGCTCCCTGGGTGCAGTGTAGATAGTGTTGGGCTGCTTGGATTTGAGGAGATCCAGGATGAGAAGGAGAAAGCTTGGAGAGATGTTTTTTCTGTATTATTACTGTGATAATGTTTTGATAGAGCAGGACACCCTCAAGGGGCTGAGTCATCTCAATGAGCAGTCTGTTGACTTCAGGAATATTTGTTTTTTAAGCATCACTTTTTGAAAACAAATCTGAATACTTCCTTATTTTATCTAGTTTCTTTAATGATTTTATTATGTGAGTGCTACAAGTCATTGACAGTAAATAAACTTCTGGAATTATACACAATGGATAACTATGGTTTGCTTTTTCTCTTTTGTGTTTTATTTTCTTACTAAATTTGCAACTGAATACTTTGTATGCTTTCTAAATGACTGAGAGAATAATAACAGATATGTTCTTAACTCCAGGTTCTCCAGCATTTGCCTATTTCTCACAGAATGAATGTGGCTGATGAGAAATATCCTGATGTGGTCCAAGAAAACTGGGACAAATTAAGAAGTACTTTTGACAAGAATTCAGATATTTTTAATATTGATGTGTTTCCCTGTTCAAGAGTTTTAAGAAATGGTGAGAAATTATCAGCTTTCCTTCAAAACCACAAGTCCTACAGATACTGCATTTATTAATGTATATTCTTTGAGAAAGGTCAACAGTGCAAATGTTGCCATCCTTGGTTTGTATGCTTGAGAAATTTGGAGTGTAGCTTTTAAAGTCAGCAAGAATCTTGGAAATCTGGTGTCCAAATTTCAGAGTATGGAGCCCTGAATCTGCAGTGGCCACTCCTCTGGCCTTACTGTGCTCGGGGCTGCAGAAACAGGCAGTTCAGAAGGATACCCGTGAGATCAACTTGGTGGAGAATCCAGGATGTTGTCCCAATTATGCCAAACCCTGAAACTCACCCTTACAACTTTCTGCAAGAATATTATTTAAATATTTCTGTGGGTGGCCTGTTTCTGGAGAAACTGAGAGAAGAGAGCTATTGTTTTAAGACTTATACTGAAATATCTCTAGAAAAATCTCCTTATGGTTATTTTCAAGTTCTCTTTCCTTTTGAAGGAAGGGAGGGAGTGACATTGTTTATGTAGAGTTACCTGTGTGAGTGGTACTTAGCAAGCAAGGCAGCATTCCTGTTGCAGAGTGTTTAAATCCTCTGTTTTAACCCATGCTTTAACAACAGAGTGGGAATGGTGTAGAACTGTAGGAGTCCACAGTCCCAGTGCTCTGGGAAAGCACAACCCCTCTCTCCTGGGGACTAGGCAGGGTGTACACCTCCTCCTTGCAGTTGAGAAGTGGGCTAGCCAGAGTGGAGGAATGAAAAGAGGCTGTGACTTGTCCTCCCCATCTTCTTTCTCCACTGAAAACCTCTGCCACAAGGGATGTAACCGTGGGTCTGCACAGGGGAGCAAGACACAGCCTGGGCCTGGAGCGGTACTGCCCAACCATTGACAATTGATTGACAACAGTGCTAAGGAAAATACAGATTTACCTGGGACAGATAGGGGGCCTTTAGCCCTTAGTTAGTGGTCTAACTAGGCTCTAACTGGTCTAACTGGCTGTGCTGGTGCAGCCCTCTTTCACTCCTTAGGCCCAAGGTGGTCCCACGGTGGGGAGATATGGCAGCACTGCCCCAGGAGTGCAGCGCTGCTGGTGTTAAGGCGCAGGGAGAGGAGGGTTAAACTCTTCTCTCCAAACGAAGCCCCTTGAACACACCACATTTCTCTTATATGAGTGGGATAGGAGAGGGAGGGATGATCCCTGATCTTGGGTACGGTGGGCTAATAACATACAGAGAAGGGCGCAAGACCTACCATCTTATAGAGTTCACCTGAGCCATTCATTTTGCCATGGAGTAGATAGACCCTTACTGGTATTAAAAAGCAACTCAGAAGTGCTCTATCTCATTTTGGTCTTCAGTATCTAGTTATCTAATATTTGAGGAACAGTAGTATATTACCATCATAAGCTTCATTCATCTGCTATTTAGATCTGAGCTTCATAGACGAAATAACAGAATGATTAAACAAGACGTTAAAAACAAAGCTGAAGTAAAGCATGGAATAGAAATGCAGATGGCCCTTTATTGCTGAAACAATGAGATAATAAATTAGATTACATGTGGTTCCACTAAACCCCAAGAGTTTTGCTGAACTTTAGCAAACTGTAACTTACCTATTAGGATCTTTGCATGTATCAGCAGTATCCGCCAGTACTGGGTAAAGGAAAATCAGCTGAAACTTATTTGGACCTTCAAAAATCTTTGGAAAAGTAGTAGCAGAAAAAGTGCTGCTGTTTGCTATGGCTTGGCCTAAGCCAAAAACCAACCAACCAACCAACCAAACCCCCAGTGTTAAATATACCTGTCAAAGAGCTGAAAAAGGGAAGAAAAGATGACAAAACTTACAGGAACACAGTAGCTTTGGCTCTTCAAGGATGAAGGAATACTGATATCCTTCAAAGCCTTGAGTAAGCCTGAGATGCGGTAAAGAAGGAGGAGAAAACATTTCAGTTCTTTTAAAAATGGGTGCTATGTTGCCAACACACTCTTCAACACTGATACCAGGCCAAACTCAGCCATCCCCAGTACACCCTTGTTTCAGAAGTTTGCGATGGCAACATCATGCCAGAATCGGATACCGGAGGAGTGATAATCCTGAAATAGTAACATACTTGAAGTTCTTGTGGCATGTGAAGATTTGGGAGGTGTGTGTGAGAAGAATGTTGTACACCCCTGAGCCAGGACTCTGTTCAGGCAGTAGGATTTGTTAGCTGGCATCCTTTCCGTGCTAGAAAATAGGCACTCCTCCAGGGACCGTGGAGGTGCCGACCTATGAAAGCTGTTAGTCTTTCTGGGTCTGGCGGAAGGCCCTTTCTTAAAAGAGAAATTAAAATAATAAAAATCCATACAATGTGGATTCCCCCCTGCCATCACATTCCGTTCTCTGACATACTTCTGCTTCAGGACAAAAAAAGGGGAATTACATCATTGTGTGGATACAAAACAAAGGGCACCGACAGCATTGCTTACAGTCATCTTACAGTCATGTTGCTTAAAATGTTGATGTTCTCCTTTTGTCCCACAAACGGGGTTCATTTATCCAGTGTGCAAGCCAGTAACACACAGAATCGAGGTATTTTCAAATTAATTTCATTGGTGTGCATGAATGGGTGCCTGTCTCAAGACAGCACACCCTTGTCTCAAAAATCCTCACATTTATACGCTTAACTAATACATATTCATTGTTATTTTCCTTAAAGATTGGTTCTTTCTTCTTCACCCCTCATGTAAATTAGTGCGCAGACTCTGTCTTCTTCCTTGATTGTCTTCTTTTGAGTAGGTGGTATCACTGGAGTAGGTGGTCAATGAGTCAGTGGTTGCAATCTCCCCCTGTAGGAACTACCTTTTGCCTACTTCTTCCCTAATCTTGGCAGTTCCAAGTGGTTCTTCAAGGTTTATTGACCAGACCACAATCCATTACCTTTTCTGACATAAGCATAAACATAAAGCCCCATTGTCTAATAGTTCCTAAACCCTAAATCATGTCTAGTTATTGTTTGCTTGTTTTAAACATTAACTGATGTGGGCTGTACACAGGACTTTAGAAGCTCCCTGGTTATTTCAATCATATTACACCTATTAATTGATAACACTATAGTGAAGTCGGCCCAGTATTTGCTCAGTTATTTACCTAAATCAAATAAAATTTATTCTTCTGTAAAGGGCTTTGATTTAACCTTTAGCAAATTCTGCATCCTGTTACTAAGAGCTGTGACACAAAGAGTCTTTTCAGAAAAGTAAGGAAAGAACAGAGAGTGCAGAACACCATATTGAAAAAGGGAGAAAAATCTTTGACCAGGCTGATCCAATGTTATGTTCAAATTAGGTGCACATTTTGCAGGGCTGCCTCATTAACTTTATGGTAAAGAATGAATTCTGATCCAGCATAGATCTATGAAGCTGGCAAGCTGTTCTTCCCAGTACTTTTAAATCTGACCAAGATTTCCATGACTAAAACAAATACCTTTTCCTTTCCTCCATCCTTCCTTTTAATAGAATTTGAAACATCCAGGTGAAAGGAGGGAGTCCCAATACATTGTGTACCATTATTTTGCACTGAAGTGAGAACAAAGGTGCATTACATACCAGGAAATAGTAAAGACAAACAGTGGAAAATGAGGAGCTTGTATTTACTTGCTACCTTCTTACAAGAAGAACCATTTTTAAAGGCTTCTATTGCTATACCCCTATCCCAAGTGTTTGTTTACACTGGGAGGTTAACTTCTGTAATTATACACCTAAGCATAGATGTCTGTAATTCCCTTTGTGGCACTCCTAGTCAAGAAACAGAATATTTTGAATGTTAATGTCACTTCTGCTGAATGCAGTACTGGATTCTTGCCCGGGGTGTTACCAAGCTAACTAGTGACTCACTGCCAAGGTAGATGATTCTCTTTTAAAGATGCAGAAATTTTTTTAGAAAAGTATTCTATTGAACAAGTGCTGCAGTCACAGCAATTTGGGACATCAGTCAATGGGTGTTCCTTTTAATTAGTGCTAAAGTCTTTGTGTGTGTGAGCTTATCTCCAAATCTTGCAAGTGTAAGTTACCCAAGAAGGCTTTAAAAATATGTTGCCTTCATATTTGAAGATCAGAATTTAAGACACTTTTCCAAATTTGAGCAAAATTAGAAAAAAGGGAAAAATGTTCTACCTTAGTTCAAGAGCTAATCTCGTTTTGATGCCTTCTTGGTGCTCTTTTGTGGATTTATATGCCTGAAGGAAAAACTAGGCACAACAGAAATTTTGTACAGTTTGTCTTACTCCATGGTAGTATAAATGAAGCCACAGTGTAGGGTGTTACCTGTAAAAAATAATATTTTGGCAATATTTTATTTTTTTGTTCTTTGCTAATGACTAAATACCACGTTTCTAGGCCTGGTCCAACCTTAGATACATTGATTGTACAGAATTGCAATCCTTGCAGAACTGACTGCTTGTGTCTCTGTGTTTCTTTTTCACAGCATAGGTCCACAGTGCTCAGTTCATGGAGTTTGCAGAGGTGGAAAACCATGACGACTTTCACACTAGTGAAGATGGATATATTCACACACAGGACCAGCGAGGGGTTTACATAATATATGATGTGGCTTTAGAGGACCTGAAGGAGGTTAAGTACCAGCTGCTGCTTGTGGCCAGCCAGTACACTGAGAAAGATAAAAGTAAGATATCTACAGGTCCAAAACACTGTGATAATTTGGTTTGCTGTTTTCAAGGTAGGCTGATCTTACGGCTTCTTGAATCATTGCTGTACTTCCGCAGGACCAAGTTCCAACTGGATTTTTGGGACCTTTCTTTATCCTCCTAGTTAGCTAAGTGATGAATGTGTTGCAAAGACCTAACTGAGCCTGTGGAATTCCTTGTCACATGTTGTTAATGTCACAGTTTTGCACTTATTCAGGGTCACAGACACCAAAGTTGTCCTGGACTGGAAAATAACACAGAAGGGACATTTACTGATGTAGTTAAGTAATATAATGAGCAAGCAAATCTTTAAGGCACAGAGAGAGTCAGAAAAGAAAAATGTTAATTGTTTCTGAATGTCTTTTAATTAATGTATTGGATTGTTTTTCTGCAGAACTAAATTTACCTCCCACCACTTTTAAACCTTTCTCAGTTGTAAATAAGAAGCTGCAAAATATTTGATGTTCCAGACTTCCTTTTTTCCTGCTGCTTTTTTTAATAGTAGGAACTGAGTTGAGACAGACTATATTACAGATTTCTAAAAAGAGCAGCTGTAGTTCTAGAATAGTGAGGAGGAAGAAGCTTGTAACTGTAGAAAGCATGGGGGGAGGGCCATTAGAAAACAGTGAATAAATGGCACAAACACGTATGATATTCAGAGAATTGCACAAAATATTTCTTAAATCACTGGAATTACTTTCTATATTGATAGGGCAATGTTTTCGATGTTTTAGCATGCTTCCCTAAAATTTAATGTTCTGACAAAGAATGCAGGGCATAGCTGAGGATTAAGATGACCAAAAAACTTTACAAACCTGTGAATGCCTAAATGCCTGCTTGGACCTTCTTTGAAGTCACCTGAAGGTCCTCACTGGGGACCTTCTTCTGGAGCATCTTTCATATGAGGGGAGGCTGACAGAGCTGGGATTGTTCTGCCTGGAGAAGGCTCAGGAGGATCTAATCAGTGTGTGTATACATACCTGGTGGGAGGGAATGAAGGCGAGGGAGCCAGACTCTTCTCGGTGGTCCCCACTGACAGGACCAGAGGCAAGGGGCACAGACTGAAACACATGAAATTCCATCTGAACACAAGAAAACACATTTTTACTGTGAGGATTCTCAAACACTGGCACAGGTTGCCCAGACAGGTTGTGGAGTCTTCATCTGTGGAGATATTCAAAACTTGACTGGACATAGTCCTGGGCAACCCACCCTAGGTGACCCTGTTTGGGAGCAGGGGTTTGGGCTGGATGACCTCCAGAGGTCCCTTCCAACCTCAACTGTTCTGTGATTCTGTCACGACAGAAGGCAGACTACTGAATGAGGCTGGGTACTCTGGTATAGCAGTTCCTGTGTTTACAGGTCACTTCATTTTCACCCTCACACAGCATGCTTGAGCACTGATCATGTACAACCTGTCCTAGCTCCTTATGCTCCTTCTTGTTATGATCTCTTTCTGTGTGCCATGAACCCAAACACTTTTAATGCTGACTTCTCCAGTGATCATGGACTTCAAATTACTCTCTTGTTCAGCTTTTGAAAAATAAGACACTTAAAGTCTGGAGCTGAAGAGTAGCTGCTGAAGCCTCTTTTATTTACTCCATGGCTGATTTTTAACTCTGCAGCTCTAAACATTTCAGATTTACTCTACTTGATTTATCATCTGTTGTCAAAATTAGCTCTAATTTAGACAGTATCACAAACAAGAATCTGAAAGCATTATTTCTTTAAGGATTTCTCATGGGCTGCTAGTGTAGAAACATTTGTAGTAATTTTTTTTCCTTCCTTCACAGTAATTTTTAAATTATGAAGACTGGCTTTTCCAACAGCAAGCCATCTGAAAAGAAAGCCCTCCCCTGGGTCTGCACTCTGCCCTGCTATATCTCTGTAAAATTTATCTTTGAGTAGTCCATGCCATTTTCCTTTGATCTGAGAGTGAAGGTGAGGTGGTGAAGACAATCCCAACATGATTTGGTGCTGTGAAAAATTAAGCTTCTCTTCTCTTTCCTCCCCTAGTTTTCTTGTGCTTTCTCTGACTTTATCTCTTGATGCAGGCCTTTTGAACTCCAGCCATTGCCCTTTATCTCAGGGAATAGTTGTTAAAAGATGATGGAAGAGATAACCAAATGCCTGGTGTGCTTGTTCTTTGCCTTGCAGAATACTCTGGGGCCTTCCAAAGCTTATGGGACTGAAATCTTTTCCTCGCCTGGGGTTCCATGGCAAGCAAAAACCACAACCCCGTGCTGTAAGTAAAAAGAATTACCACAAGCCCTGGGACTCTAGGTGTGTGCAAATCCCTCTGATACTGGCATCTGCTTGTTCTCTACTTAATTTTTTTGTCTTAGGCAATGTAACTTGTGAGCAATTCAGTAGCAGCAATATTCTTCGCTGGGCACATGCCTCTGTGGATCAATTTGCTGTGCTGCTTGACCTCTGGACCTGTGAAACTGCTCTATTGGAAAAAAAATGCCAGGTACAGATACTTTTCTTGGACTGAAAATGGTAATTTGCAGTCAGTTCACTTCAGGTTGCGTAAGGTTCCTTTTAAACAGCATTTCCCAAGGTCTATACATACGGATGTCAGAGCCAGCAACTGTGGGTGGTGGTACAGGCGTCAGATGCATTGGGTGCCTGGTGCTGGGCTGGGTGCAGAGGGTTGGAGCTGCTGGGTGCTGTGAGTTGGGTCCAGAGGACCTCAGGTAGTGGCTTTTGCAACAAGGGAGCAGAAATGCTCTTGCTGTCGGACAGCAGCCTCTGGTAGCTGCTGTGCCAGGGGCTGGAAGCACTTCTGCAAGGCCTTAGGGAGAGTCACCCACCACTGGATAATTGGGAAGGATAATTGGGAAAGACAAGGCCAACTCCAGAGCAAAACTGCAGCACACATTGTGTCCCTCCTTGCATGCCAAGGAATGGAGCAAATGCAGACTAGGAAGAATCAGGTGCAGCCCTGAGGAGCCTGGGCCACCAGGAAGTTGAAGATGCAAATTTTTTTCTGTGGTCCTGGCTGTCCCTGCTTTCTGGGGCTAGTGCAGGAAACTTTTAATGGTTGTTGTCAGAATTGTAGTCATTGCATCTTTGTGAAGCCCATGGAAGAGAAACTCAGCCTGCAGCTGGCTAGGTGCATCATTTGGATTATCCTTTGTCAGCGGGAACCAGAGAGATGTTTTGTATGTTACAGCATAAAAAATAATCCATTTATTAATAAAACCTATAGCTATGATTCTATATGTATTATAGATTAGTTACTCTGAGCAAAAAATGCCATGATTTAGTATGGAGTTAAAAAACCCAACAAACAAACCAACACTAAAAATGCGTATTAAGTGATTCGTACCTTTACCATTCACAAGGGCTGCTGCATATCCCGCGGGCTTTCCGCTTCCTCTCTCTGAATCTAGTCAGGTGTCTGTATTTTGCCATGGGACATGAAAATATACAGGGTTTCTGCCCAAAGACCTCAATCTTCAAAGATGAAAATTAGACAAGTTCAGAGGAAGGGACCCAGAGGATCTTGGAAGTGTATTTCTGACTACGGGACTCGCCAGTCCCAAGGACGATGCTGTGAGTGTCAGGAAGTGGAAAGGAGCAGGTAGTCCACTTCAGAAGCAGGGAGAAATGGCACTAACTGAGGTCGCCTTCACACACTTGAAATGTTTTGTTCACAGTCCTGGAGTAACACAGGGCAGCTCTGAAAATAGGAATGCTAGAGGGTGCTAGGGAATCTCCTGTGTACCACTGAAGAGGCTTTAAATAGAAAACCTTTTAAACTAAAATAGTTGTATGTAGTTTAGGAAATCTCCTAAGGCCACTCTCCCATTTTCATAGAGGAGCTTTGTGTGATGGAGCTATATAAAATACTAATTGCCTAGTTCACTAGTTTTCTGCTCTCACACCAATAGACTTCGCTTTCCATTGCTGTATGATCATACTACCTCTGTGAATCTACCTTTTATTATTGTCACGGGCCTTCCGTATAAGGAAATGTGCTTTCTTTTTCGAAGAAAAACTCCCAGTAGAGAAGAATGAAACTTCTACAGCAACAATGCACTAATTCCCTTCCAAAACCATCAAAGAGTATATTCTCGAACTGCTCTCACAACCCAGCTCTCTAGGCAGGATTAAATGTACAGATGTGCTGTTGCTGAAGGTCTTTTGCTTTTAGCTGAAATTAAATGGAAGTGGGTCTCACTAGCTTTGGTTCCAGCTGGCATTGAGTTCTTTCTGAGTGAGGAAACAATAGCTCTTTGTCCAGCAGCTGAGACAGCTTAGCTTAGCCAATATGAAACTTGTTTAGGCCTATGGCTTAAGCAGTGTTTTAGCTTCCTCTGGAACAGTTCAGGTCAGGCAGGTCTAAATCAGAGAACTTTACTCTTTCCATTGAAATCTGAATTCTCAGCTACCGAGTTACCTCCTAAGCCCTTCTGCATCTTCCTCTTCCACAGTCTTCTGGTCTCAGTATGGAAAGTAACATGGATGCTTTTCCACTTCTGTGTCAATGTAAAATAGCCAGATGTAGATCATTTCATATTGAGATGGCCTATTTGTCCAGAAGCAAGGCAATTAATATTTTCAATCCCATTATTGCCATCTGACCAAGAAGTACTACAATGTCATCTGGAGAGTTCACATGCTGTCATGCTTGGCACATTTCTTTTTCTGTCCTAAGCTGTGGGTATTTGTAATTAAAATTTTTACTTAAATGAAACTTTACAGCTATTCTTGGTAGAGGAGCCTGAAGAGGGCATGCACCTTTGTACATCTTTAATTACATCTTTGATTTCTTTGGAGTTTCTCCAAAAAATGTAAAGTAACTGTGACAGTCATGGCCAAATGAGATAACAGAGAGTCTTGGATGAGTCTGCAGCTTTCAGTTTGGGGAAATGGAGTTTTTCAAAGATACAAAACCAGTGTGTGTGCTGGAAAAGAAATAGAGAATAGATTAGAGTGGAAAGAAGTAGGTGTTTTTAAAGTAGTAAGTACATTGTCTTTTTACTTTTTGAAGGGAAAAATGTGAAGAATAAAAATCTTCATGCTTCAGTGGAAAAAAAAACATGTTAATTATGCAAGATTTGGAAGAAATTTCTTATATGGTCAGTTCTGTTCTCGAGCCTTCTGATGAAGCATCAAGTAACATCCTGTGCCAGAAACAAGATGCCATACTGGGTCACTGTTGGTTTGATACAGGTGGCAAACTCCATGTTCAGAAATCTTTCCCCAACAAAGAATGAATATTTGGGTGAATAAAAATTTCTAAATATGCTTTTGAATATCTCTTCAGCTTCTAGATGTTTACTCTGAATCTTACCAACATGCTTTGGACCCAGAGGAAAGATTTGCTTTGCCCAACCAATAACTGACATCATGCATAAATGTCCATGGTTTGATCTCAACCTTAAATATTTTGTCAACACCCACAAAGATGAACGCATCTGTTTACAACTTCACCTCCAAGTGCTGAGGGGCATATTAAACCAACAAGGAGGTTGAATTTACAGTATATTCATCTTGGGGAAGTAGGAGATGAAATCCAGAATGGGAAGCTTTGATTATAGCCTGCATGTGTTTACAGTGTTAAGATAGGTCAATACTAATTTAACAATGAAGTCTATGGCTGCTTTGTAAATTGAAAGCATGAAGCTCAAGAGCAGAAAGCTATAATTTCATCAATATCAGAAAGAAAATGTTGGAAAGATGCAGAGCTTCATATGTCGTGTTAAAGCCACATCTGCTACCGTTTGAGACAATTAGAAATAACAGTTGAGAGGCATGGAAGGTAAATAAAATTATAATCTATATTTGTTCTGTAATGCAGTGGATAAGGAACTAGCCCTGTTTATAGTAAGAGAAAAGAGAATTAAAAAAGAATATAAACAAAGCTTGCACTTTAAAGTGCACTTTGAAAAGCAGTATATTTCAGACAGCTGTGAATTCCTGTGTTAATAATTAAATCACAGCATTTGAAATACATTTTTCCTCTGGTTTAAAAATCTGCCTCAGCTTTACTCTGTATCCTGCCACAAGATATTTCCTTTCTCTGAGCTTTGATTTCAGAGGCTGCAAGCTGGGAAGTTTAATTAGCTAACATTTGTAACTTGGCTTTTAGTCCACAAACAGAAGTTTGGGTTTTGGTACAAGAGGCTACTGTTGTGCTGCTGTTGCCACTAATGCTACCATATTGCTAGCAATAAAAATGGAGCCTTGTCAGTATTGGAGCTTAAATTTTGTTCTGAAGGAATATGAAAGATTCAAAATAATTTTATCAGGAATAATTCATCTAGAGTGGGTACATATATAACTGACTTCATATATATATATATAAAAATAGAAAATTTTGCAGCTTATGTATAAATAAAGAATAGTTGTTTTTGCCTTGATTTCTAGCTATGTGTGAATTTTATTGGCTAATGTCCCTTGTGTTTATTGCTGTGTTTTAGATAGATGCCCAGCGGGATTATGTCCACAAGATTTGGCGGGAAGGTCAAAGAGGTGGCATAGGTGAATTTGGACTTCCTTATAATGTATTACTAAGCACCTTATCTCTCTTAATACTAGCCAATGAGTGATTATACAGTTTTATTTCTCTGGAGAGTACCTCTTTCTGTTCTGCTTTCTGTAATTGATTGTAAAAATTTGGGATCCAGTACCTGAAAATAAGACTATTTGAAAAAATGACAGTCTTAAGGTGAATCAAGCAATAGATGAGTGTCTCATGTTATTTAGTCTCATGCTATTTAGATAGCCAGAAAAACATTCAAAGAAGAAAGTCGTTCCTCCCCCCTCACGTTTACATTGCCCTTTCTTGACAATGGATTTGATAATTGCATCTTGCAGTGCACCGGGACACTAATATTCCCATGGGTAGACTATTAAACAGTAGTGATGAAAGTGGGTGCTGTGGTTAGACTACTCACTTCAGACTTGCTGCATCAGTATCCTGACCTGGCTTCACAACTTTCGCTGCCCTTTGGCCACAGTCTATTGCTCTTTCCAGCACAACTGTCCAGCTGGATGTGTGTGTACTGTTTTCACACGTGGAATCCATATCTTACCTGCAGTACAGACCTGCCACACGTTCCCCATCCTGCAGCTGTGCAGCGCTGTGGGTTATGTGAACTGTTTACATAGCAGCTAATTATACACCCAGAAACCAACAGCCCCTTGCCTCTGGTCCCTTCTGGTTTCCTGCCTCTGTCTCCAGCTCCTGGGCCCTATTCCTCCCCTGACACACGTTTTGATTTTGTATTGGTTATCTGAGGGCTTATTTTTCAAGTGCAGTTTTAACGGGTGGGCATAATAGACGTGAAAATGCAGTTAATACAACTGTCAGCTAATGAAAGAGAATTTTAAACATTTTCTGCTTTTATTAGCAAATGAGACTACTTAGATGTGTTCCAACATAATTATGTTTATTAAGGCTTCAGTTCTATTTTTAGATTTGATGATTGATTTCTGATATGCACTAATGCCATTGCAATTTATTCTTGCAAATTAAGCAATTGCAAGTTTTCTTTATATATACAATTTATCAAAGAATATTTGCGAGCTATTTATTCTTTCTTTGTTTTTGTTGTTTTCAAGTCCTACTTTGAAGAACATTTATTTGCTGGAGTTTCACCCTTCTCTTGGTCTGGTGTGCTTGATCCCCAAAGCTCTTGAGTATATCTACCAGGAATTCTACAGCATCTGCAGACCAAAAACAGCCAGTAAAGCAAGTAACCTAGAAAAACAAGTGCTTCAGCTAGTAGTTGATGAGTGGCTAACTATGGAAAAAACCAGAAAGTTTTTACAGTTCTCATATTCAAATAGATGTAAGTTCCTTTTTTTTTTTTTTTGTTAGTAATGACTCTTTAAAGCAGAATGCCCAAGTGTGTGATCTTGCTAGTTCATTTACACTTGCTGGTTAAAGTTCTAGTTATGTGATTCTGAATTCAATTATTTGCTTATGATTGGTGAAGATCCATTCCACCCACCTTTAAAACAAGAATTTTTTTCTGTAAATTAACACAGGAAGGTAGAACTCTTGATCTCATGCCAGTATAAAGTAGGAACAATCAGCTTAATGAGAAGGAAAATAGACACACTTAAACTGACATGAGATCACAGTAAGTCTCCAGGTTTTGCGTTTGTGTGTGTGTACAGTCTGGAGAAAAAAAAAGACTGGACATTAAAGCAAATTTGTTATAGGTGGACCCAGTTATTACTGTAATGTCCACCATTTCCTGGTGTAGAACTCTGATTTTGGTTGGTTATAATTTTGATAAATGCTAATTATTGTGAATGAAATTATCAATGCTGGACATCTCTATGAGGTTGATTTTTTTTTTTAATTAGTCAGCTTAGTTGTTGCTGGGAGCAAGAAATGGAAAATAAATTATTTTATCTATTTTCTCTACAAGAACGTAATACAGCTACACTTTGGAGCATACGTTTCAAGTCTGGAAAGACTCATTAGGTAGTGATATGCTATGCTTTCATTCCTGCCAAGTTTGGCCAGCATAAACTAAAATAAAACACACTATTGCCACACGTTCAGTAGGGCGACATTATCTGAAGTGTCTGTGTGCCATGGTATATCTATAACCTGAGGCAAAGCAGGACTTTCCACTGTCCCTGCAATAATAGCTCTGGTCTAAGTGACCCATGTTCGATTTGGGTATGAGCACTGAAAGTGAATCCGAGGGGCTGTCAGCCTGCACTGTCACTCGCCTCACCTTGACCGGAGGCAGCAGAGGCAGCTGGCCGAGCAGATCCCCGAGGAGACGCAGCAGCTGTGCTGGTGGAGCAGGAGATGGGCAGGAGCATGGAGAAAATACTGCCGGCTTGGTGAGTGGGATGGCAGCCAGGAAATGGGAATGAAGATTGAGGTAGATGAAATGCTGGCAGGCGGGGACTAGAACTAAGATCCAGTGGGTTCCTTCCTTTCGGAAGGAAAATATATGGGGAAAAAAGTGCACAGTAAATTGGGGCTGGGGCAAGGAGGCACCTCGGGGGGGTGGGGGGGTGGGCTGAGAATGGTTTGGTAAAGAGATTGGCTCAAGCTGCCCAAAACCAGTGATAGCAGGACTTTGCTAATCAAGGGAGTGGGGATGAAAATGGGAAGTTTGAGGCGTGGAGACAGAACTGGTTAGATGAAGAGACTGTGGAGACAGTAGTGGGTAAGAAAGTATAGTGACAAACTAAAGGCAGAAGGGCACAGCTTCCTAGGATTCTCCCCTCCCTGGCCTAGAGCAAAACCCAGAAATTACTTATCCAGCATCTCTCTGCTGCCAGTAAGATCCACTGGCAGTGTCCCACTACTCTCTTGTCCACAGCAAATCACAAATGATTCTTTGCTTTTAAAATTTTAAATCCTAGAAGTCAGTGGCAGAGATCTGTGCATGGATCATAAAGTTACCACACTGCTGTTGCCAAGGGGGAAGGGAAGGATTTTGTTGTGTTTACTTCTTGCACATTCCTTTTCCTCCAACAGAAGCTGCAGATGAGACAACCACACGCAAGCAGACAATGTTTAGAAGACACTGAGGTTGTAAAAGTCTAGCATTTAAATTTTAGGAGATATACTTTTGCCAGAGCAGATTTAATTAGTTTCCTTTTGCATAGACATGATGATGCAGTGTTTACATGATTACATATTATTTTTCTTTATGACTTGGTGTGCTAAATTCAACATTTCTGTCCTTCCTGGACTGCTCCTTTTGTGACCCTGGCCCTCATTCTTTCATGTTTTTCCAACCCTTCACTAAGGATGGTTTTATAAGATCCAATTTTTATTCCCCATCTGACTTCCTAAACATCTCACAACTTCATAATAAAAAAATTACCCAGGGGTGAGGTACAGACGCTGCCAGCTTGGGAACAGGTGGTTTTCCTATGTAGAAATACCAGAGAGGCCATAAAAAGAAAAATGAATTCTGGAATTACAAGACTAAATGATCCCTGGGAAGCTGTGAGATCTTTCTCTCTCACCCCAAGCCAGGAGCAGCTGGATGATACTTAGGTTCTTCCCATGAGATAAGTAGCTGTCCTGTTCTTAAACACATCATGTGACAGACTTTTCCAAGCAGTTTGTTGTAGTGCTTCACCAGCTTCACCGTTACCAAGTTCTCCTTAAAGTCTCGCACAGATGTGCCTTGTTACAGTCTAAGCTTATTACCTCTTTTGTCCTTGTTGGAAATAGGGAAAATGCTATTCTCCTTTTAGCAGCTCTGTGAAGAAGCACATAAAGATGGGTTGTCCTGTCCCACCCATCCAGAGTCATAGAATTACAAAAGCACATTGTAACGTACTGGGTAAGAGAGACAAAATCAAGTTGCACAACTTCTGACACTTAACTTTGGAGTGTTGTCTTTTCAAACTTTTTTTTTTTTTGCAGTGTAGCTGTGAAAGTGTAGTGAGTGGCAGGTGTTAAAATCTAGACTTTTATTACTAATAACTGCATGGCTGGGTTCAGATTTCCTCATGATCTGTGATTCATTGGTCATAAGCAGCAAAGTGTGAAGCCACTCAGCTATAGCAGTGGCCACATCTATCCCATCTGACACGAGCAGGGTGGCGCAGTTGTATGGGCTATGACAGCTAGAGACAAGGAGCACCTTTTCTGCACACAGAGCCAGGAGCTGTTCCCGTCACCACTTCCACAGCACAACAGCCAATGGACCATTATCTTCTTTCCAGCTCTCCACATTACCAAGCTGCAGCTTTTGATAATCTTTCTTTCCTGGGTTTTCTGCTCTTTTGGAGGCTTCCATCATCCCAGTAGAACAGGGGTCCAACTCTGCTGAGTTATCTGACCATGTGAGTTTGCTGTCCCCATTTTCAGATCATCATACATACAGTGGCACATGTGCTAGGATCTGCACACTCTTTAGAGGAGGAATGGCCTCAGCTAGTAATAAGTGAATCAAGTTACAGAGCCGCTGCTTTAGAGAGGTATATACACCTGAAGGCCTTCTGAATTTTGATTACAATAAAAAAGGCAAATATCTTGTGTTAGATATAAAAAATAAATAAAATAAGCTTTGTTAAGTCCTTTGAGTAAACCCAGGTTTATAGAGTCAGTGTCTTTACCTTTGGAGCAAGTGGCAAAACACCAGTGTATTTTTAGGGGTCAGGATAGGTCAGAGTAGGCACAATTCTCACCTTGCATGAGTTGCGACCCCATGCAACTCCAGTCATGATTTACTCCAGAAAAAGAAAAAGGAGAATGGTCCCCTAAAGTATTTAAAGACCTTTGTCATCTGTATGTAAACGATTTCTCTGTTTCCTTCTCCCCCCCCGCCTTTCTTTGCAGTTATTTGCTGAGGTACTGATCAAAGACCCTGTGCTGGTGCAAGAGATTGCTTTGTCTCTATCGGAGAAGAAAAAATGAAGAAAAAAAGACAGGTGGAGAAAAACGGCTCTTTACCCTGGATTCCTTCTCCATGCTCCTGGAGCTTGCCATGCTCCACCATCAGCTGATAGAGGTGGTGACAGAGAGTGCGCAGTTAGCCAGGTTAGTGGGTCAGTTGTGCTGTTTTAGCAGCACTGGTAGGGTGACCTCAGAGAGGTGTGGTTTGTAGTGAAAAAGTAACTTCTTTTAAAGAGGCGACCTACTATGGTTGGAAAAAAACAGAGAGAGATGAAGAGTGCCTGCATCTGTGTTGTGGGAGATATGTTTGCTTGTTACATGGAGATGGAGTCTACCTGGGGTTTGCAGACGTTCATTAGTTTCAAAAGGCGAGGTCACGCTGCTCCTCAAAGGTTAACAGGAGAGGCCCTTTCCCAGTGAAAATACTGAAATTTTGTCAAAAGGAGGAGCAGGAGGAATTCACTGATTGAATGAACACAAAGATGCCTCCTTCTGCAGAGTTTTACACAGATGATTATTTTAACTGCCTTCTTATGAAGAGTAGTGCAATATAGGAAAAGGCACACAAGAAGTACAAGCTTTGTTCACCACCAGAGGTAGAAAAGCATAAAAATTGTTCTGGCTGTGCTGATCCTTACAATGATAATGAAATAATCTACAAAAGGGAAGTCTGTATCATGCATTTATGGAGCTATCAGCTGGAGGAGATGACAATTTGTACAGGAAGACATAGAAATAAAGACTGAGCTAATGGGGACACTACAAAGAGTAGTGTTGAACTGCTGGCTTGGAGGCAGGTTATTGGTGAAACTCCTATTGTTCAGCTCCATATTACTTGGCATTTTTATTAATGATATCAGTAGAAAACATAAGAGGGTGTTATTAAATTCAGGACATTGTAATGCTGGCAGATAAAACTGATAGGGAAAATAAATGGAATATCTTACAGGAAGAACTCACGGTTCTAAGGACTGGAGTAGTAGAAAGCATATAAGGATCCATAACACAAATCTTGAGGTTATGCATAATAATACAAAATTCTCCTGTGAACTTTGAGCTTATTAGTTGGAAGCAACAGAGGAGGAGAAAGAACTGGATGTATAGCTGGCCATGGGATGATTGTAAACTGCCAGCGTATTGCAACCATGGCAGGGGGAAAGCCTTTATATCTTACTGTGAATCAGGCAATGAGTTTTGTAATCAGTGGAGAGAGGGAGAATTGATGCCGTGTATGTGATTCTGGTGAGGCCTCACCTGGATTATTAAGTATAATTTGGAGATTTGTGTTCAGGCAAGATAAATTCAGATTGAAATGGGAGCAAAGATGATCTAATAGCATGCTGAGGGGACATACAGAATGCATTTTACAAAAGCAAATGAAATATCTTGGATTGTTTATCCTAGCAAAATGAAGGCTGAAAGAAGATAAGATTGTTCTCTATAAATACACCAGGAAGATAAGCACTGGGAATGGAGAAGAGGTATTTAAGCTAAAGGCCAATTTTGGCAGCAGAACAAATGGATTTAATCACTGTGAATAAATTTAAGCTGGAAATTAAAAGGGGATTTCTAAGAATCAGACAACAAACTTCTAGAAGGGAAAGAGCAAAGGGTAGAAAACTTAACAGTTTTAAAATGGGGCTTGATTCATTTATGAAAAGGATTACTGGGACATGATTGCTTGCAATAGCAAAGTTGATTGTGTAGGATAGATGACATTCCAGTCATGTTTTTTCTTTGTCTTAACCCTTTGTCTAGCTTTCTTCTTGAAAATTTAGAGTCCCTATCAAAAAGTCAGCAGGATTTATTTTCAGCAGCTGAAAACCTAGACATCTTTAAGATACTTAAGCCACAACCATTCAACTTAGTTTGGTGGAAAACCTAATTTTCTGTCACAACTCTTTTCCATTAAAATAAGAACTTCTTTAACAGCTATAATTTGATATCTGGAACTTTCTTGGGCAAACTAACAAACAGGTTAATTTACTTCAACCCAAGCAATTCCATGAAGCAAGGTCTTCTTTCTTGGTAATTTGTGTTTCTTGTTCAGATACTCAGCTTTCTAACAAAATACAGGTTCTAGTTAAACTTCTTCCACTGGTTGAGATAACTCTTTGTGTTCCTTCACTCATACACATACATACATACACACACATACATTTTCTGGTAATTAATAAGGGGTAAGGTTATATTGCAACTTTTCACTTAGCTGAAAAATCAATATCCAATTGCCTTTTCCATAAAACCTGTAGGAACTTATTATCTTGAAAGCCCTGTTTCTGTGTCAGATTACATTAATATTCACCAACTGATTTAGAAGTTATCCAGAGGAGACAGATGAGCAGACCGGATCATCACATGGCTGCATTTCTTTCGGGAACAGGGCTAAGAGGACATACTCAGCTGAGGTGACATACTTACAAATCCCTGAAAAGTAGCAGTAAATTGTCATTTTCCAGGATGGGAAGTCAGTGGAAAGTTATGACAAAAAGTAAGACTTCATGATGCATATGTAAGGTCATTAAGCATAACATTCTCTTCATTTAATAGAAGATGGTTAAGTCAATCTAAATACCAGTAGAAACATATATAGTTTATTCAATGTGACATTTTAAGGAGCTATTTTTACATCTTCTTTTGTTGTGATGAAGTTTGCAGTTCATTGTAATATGAACTGTTAGAGACTCAGATTGAGACTGAAACATCAGAAAGGTTAGTAATCTTTTTTCCTGCTATGCAAAGTGAAGTGTGTGCACCTACATTTGTGGATTCCTCTACCTTATACCATAGCTTCTATCAGAGTTTTGGGTCGGACCTGCCAGAATTACTCCCATTACTTGCCTGTCACTCCATTCCCAGAGTGGAAGGTCATTCACATCTAAAAGTACACATTTATGTTGTATGTACTGTTCCTTGCAGCCCTTGTTGCTTCTCTTTGTTTCTCAGTGTTCCTAAGTTCTCACTTCCTCAGTATTCATCTTCTACCATCTGGTGAAAAGGGACATCCTTTGGTAGAATAGTAGAGCTAGACAGTGCAGCAGTCTGAATTTTGCTTCTCTGTTTTTGCTTGACACAGCCACCTTTTTAATCTCTTTTTTGCTATTTTTTCCCTTTGCACACTATTAATAAGCTGATTTGTGTGCTGATGTCTGTTCTATACAGTCTATTCATATGTCTATACTGGTCAACTAAGAGAGCAACATTTATAATAATTACACAGGTCTTTGTTTTAAGACCTTAGAGTTGATTTTGGCTGTGATCCATATGATTATTGACTGATGCTTATGGTGTCTTTCATATATTATTTTGTCTCCTCCCCTTTTCTTTCCCTTGCTGTGGAGGCAGGGAATGTTACCTGATTTCAAAGGACAAAGAGCTACATCTTCTAGGTCCTGTTTGTGTCTTTATCACATTCTCATGACATAGCTTCTCTGTGACCTGATTTCTTGACTGGTAAAACACCTGCCTTACATGTTAGGAGAAAGCAAGGAAGTATGTTATTCCTTTGCAGTCTGTATCAAAAAGTCAAATTCTTTCTTTTTAACATCTTCTTATACTACATGAGAAGAGCCATCGCAGGCCAGATCAGTGTTTCTGTGGTCTTGCATCTGAAGGAGTGCAGGGATGGATCCATAGGGAGGGAATATAAAAAGCAGGACAGTGTCCAGCTTCTGACGCTTGATGCTTTAGAGATTTCCTGAGCTAGTGGTTGCGTCTAGACCATGTGTCTACTGTCTGCTGATGGACTGTCCTCATAATTTGTTATACTGGGGAGGTTGTACTGGGGTTTTGTCATACTGGAGGCTTCTAGAATGACTGTTTCTTAAGTTATGAAGTCACTGTTTTAATAGTAATAATGTGTACGAGTTCTGCTTGTCTATTGAATCTTCCTCTCTGGCAGTCAGTCCTCTTCCCAATTTCTAGTCTAAAATAATATTCTTCACGTCTCTGCCAATTGCAGTCCTTTCTAAATAGGAACATTTAGCATATTTCTCTTGATTTGCCCTTATGACCATTGTAGACTCGCAACTTATTGTCCTTTGTTTGTAGGTGCTGTCTGTGTCAGCCGAATGGGTGATACTAAGCAACCATCAGCTATCTCGATACAACACTTGTTTGCTTCATATCCATCATACCATTTCAGATGCCAAGAAATGTTTTAAGTAGAATGCAGATGTCTCATTGAAATTAACCTGATGGATGTAGGTTTCTAAATGTATATTGCTTACAGCAGGAAGAAAGTTAATTTTTCAAATGCATCCATGTGTTTTTCTTTCTAGGTTATATAAGGCTTTTTGCAATGGAAGCAGGTTTTGGTGAGTTCCATTTGTACCTGAGGCCTGTGCTCTTCGAATCTGCATCTCACAGGAAGAAAGCAGAGCACCTCCCACCAATGTTCATTGCATCTCTCCTGGGAGATGACAGCTGTGTTGACAGGTAGACTGAACTTTTTTTGTGTTTCACAGGGTGTAATCTCTTTAGTTTGGATGGGATCAAGCCTTTAGTCTGCTTAGACTCACATATAAGCCACAAAAACTTCAGAGTGTAAAATACATAAAATTATCCAGGCAGAAAATGTGACATGCTGCATGATTTATTTCCTTTTTGGATAGAGTCTGGGACTGAATAATACTAATTTGAAGCTGTTGAGAAGTGAAAGTGAGGAGACATCGAATTTGTGTGGAACATTGGCAATTTTGGAAGTAAAGTGCATTTTCTTTCAAAGTGAGGGATGCCTAATAGGGCTGGCCTGGAAGTGATTGCCCCAAGCCCCATAGGTAGCAAAATGGGACCTCAGAAACTGTTGTGAATAAACTCCTAATTCTGAGCATGGAGAAAGCTTATTCTCCTAGAATTATACTGCACTTCATGAAGTGATATCTTTGATCTTTGTTTTTCAACTCAGTCACCCAATCTCTGCATAAGGAAAAGGCTATTTATTATTTTCCCTTTTCTTCTGGGGAAAGCGACTGGAACAAGCAGATATTACAGTTGCTGTGATTTACTCTTTAAAAAGTTGGTGAATATGTGTGTATACGCATACATAAATAACACCAGTTTGTGTGTGTGTTTGTGTGTATTTTAGATCAATGTTTAGGAGGAAGAAAGGAAACAACTTGTGAATTCTCTTATTAGATTCAGGGAGGACATCCCGTCAGTCGTTCACTATGGCTAATGTGGGCAGCAGGGCTCCCTTCTGACTTGTACATATACCACCTGCAGTCCCATGCTGTTGTTTGCATCCTATTCACTTGCATACACCCGAGCCTGCTGTGAAAATTGGGCTGTTCCAAACAAGTTTAGCAATTGCAAGCAACCTGGAATGAAGCTTCAGCTGCTAATGGAATTGGGGTAGTGATGGACATCAGAGCCCAGAAGACAGTACAGCAGCACATAAAAACCACATTAGGAACCAATACTTGAAACAAGACATGATTAAACTGAACAAGCAGACTAAGGTCATCTAGGAGGAGCTAATGAGTCATTGTAATGTCAACTACAAAACATGATGGGATGTATTCTTTTTCTTACAAAACTACTTCTAAAAGTTAAAGCAACATCCTAAGATCACTAAATTAGGGACTAGAGTGGCCAATTCCATCTTCTCTTCTAAATTTAAAGGGGGAAAGAACTGAAAATATTTCTGAATATATCACTATTCTCCTTTCATCCTCAGTTTGGCTTCTTTTTCTGTCATACTCCATGTTTATAGGTAATTTTGCTTTCATTGCAGATATATTCCATCTAGCTTAACACTGAGCATCCAAGAAATTGACAGTCATCTTGGAAAATTTAGTTTCCGTACAAGAGATGGTGTTATGCAGGTGAATGATTTAATTTGCAGAATAAGCAAAAAATATGTATTATGTTATTATTTATTTGCCAGAGTATGAAAGGGCCTCAGTCATGTGTTTACTAGACCCTATAAACTTCTCTATAGTTTGTCTTTCTCTGAGTGATAATATGATTTAGTCTACTGTTTTATAATTAACTTCATAAAATTGCACTGAAAATTTGATTGTTAATGCGGCCTAATCCAGGAATGCTTACTGGGATGAAACTCTTTTAAGTTAGCAGAGCTTTGTCTAAGGAACTTTGTTAAATAAAGGAGGATGCCTCTGTGTGGCTGTATGCGCACATAGTAACAACATTTGGTGTAGAGAGTTCTGTAATGAAAGAAAACAACCTTAGTCTTCAATGCTATTTTGCATACTTATTCCTTTCCTTTTCGTATGAGTGTATAAAAACAGTATCACAGACTGCCAGGCCATGGAGATTTCTTCTTTCTAGCTCTTCGCAAAATCTGCTTCTTGCCATCAACTCAGTCATGACCTATACTCTGCAGCAGGGTGGCATACAGTTAAAAATTTGCCAAGGAAAAACAAGTATGTTTTATTTGGTGTCTACTTCTTTCCCAGCCTGTTTGCACTTGGCTGCACTGTCTGGCACTGTCCTGCTCTGGAGTAGAGCTGAGAATACAACTCACTAAATACAAATGAATGAAATGTTTCTTTGATCTCTATAATCAGTTGTGTTTCAATGATAACAATGTATATGTCGTCCGTCCCCCCCCCCCCCCCCGCCTCTCCTC